CCCCTCTTTCCTACCGTCTGTTCTCTGGCTCACATGCACCCTTGCCACACCCCTCGGAGGCAGGAGGAGGGTCAGGCTTTGCAGACCTGGGCAGCCCCAGAAAAATTATAATGGCTGTTCAGATGTATACAACTCATGAAGTATATAGCTTGTATAGTCTTGTATTAAGTCCTCACAGCATGCCTGTGAGTTAGTCATAATAATAAACATCTCCTGAGTGCCCGCTGAGTGTGGATGTCATATGAATATACACATATGTACATATATATACACATACATACACGTGTGAATGTCATATATAGGTGAATATAGACACATACATATACACATTTATACATACATATATATATTCCTTATAAGACTCCTGCAAGGTACATATTATTCCCAATTGACAGATGAGCAAACTTAGATTAAATAACTCATCCAAAGTCACACTTAGTAGAGGCACTGTTGGAGCACTGACCCCAGGATCTAATAGTTTCCGCCATACTTCCTCTGCAGGAGTCACTGTCTTGGCGAATATCTCACGGGTTACAGAACTCACGCAAAGGGTACCCTGCATCTTTTCCATCTCGCCAGCCCTGCTTACTCTAATTCCTGGAAACACCTGGTCTGCGTGCTGTTCAAAGGCACCTTTTGGTTTATTTCAAAGGTTGGATAAAGTTCATTTGCATGTCTTTTCTTTTTCACAGTGCCCCTCCACTCACTGAAAAGGAAGTTGAGGTAAGTAACTCCAGTGTTTTATGAAATTGAGTACTTGAGCTTGAGTGGGTTCATTCAAAACATTTCCTTCTCCAGCCTCTGCTGCTGACATTTTTATACAAACATGAGAATGAGTGGCCATGGGGGGAATATGGGCATCGTGATCAGCCCTATTGAGCCACCAAGCCCCCGACCACCACTCCCGTTAATGGAAGATTTTGACAAATTTCGTCAGGGATGAGAAGGTAGCTGGAAGTTCCACATTTCTTCAACGGTTGTTTGTTTTCTTTAAAAGTATGACTTAGATACACAAAGCAGCTGGGAGGCTGCAGAACTGAATCAAATTTATTTCAAAATTATTAAAAGATGGTCAGGTTTCACGTTTCAGACTTTGGTCTGGAGGAAGAAGGTGCTTTCCTTCTGAGGGTTTCAGACGTAAGGAAGCCAGCTCAGCCAAGGTGGTGGCTACGCTGTCAGCTCTCCCACCTTCCCTGATTCTCCCATGATTCTCCTCGGGGCCTCCTTGTCTCTGTAGAGAAGCTGTCCCAATGGGGCTGGTGAGTGAGCTGAGAGGAATTTGCATTTCATTCTGGCGAAGGGGTAGATGGTCAAAGAGAATGCATCGGAGGTGAGACAGGGAGGACCTCCGACACCAGCAGTAGTTTGTTTCCATGACAATTACACTGGAATTGATAGAAGGAAGGGAGCAAGAACGTGGATGATTCCAGAATACTTCACTCCAGGTTGGGAGGATGGAAGATTTTACAGTCTTAAAACATGGTTTACCCTTGATAACAAGAAAACGAACATACACTTACTGAGACCCAGTGGGCCACATAAGCAAAGGGAGATGGACTGTGTAAAATATCTGGCACAGATAGCAACAATTACCTGGCACACAGACATAGAACTTACAGTCTATGGCACACACATATCCATCCTTTCAGTTGACCCCCCCATCAGCTCTGAGAAACAGGTAGAGCAGGAAGAACAAAGGAGGAAACTGAGGGATTAAATAAGTTACCTGAGATCCCAGACCCAGTGCTTAGCAGAATCAGCATTTGGAGTCAAGTGTTCTGACTGACTTCAGGGCTCTTTATATCACACTGCCATTAAGGGGATAACCCAGTTATAGAGAACTAAATATTGAGCATTACTGATAAACTTGGCTGAGGCTTGGGCAAGACAGAGGATCCCCACCCACTGACGCTGGTGGTGATGGCCGTGGGCACTTTGGTCAAGGGTGCGCTCCTGTCCTCAGGTGTGTGCTGACACAATTTGTGCTCAGCATGGTGAGAGGAGCACAGGCTTTGGAATAAGATTGTCTGAGGCTGAATTCTGGCTCTGCTACTCCCTTGTGACACCTTGAACAAGTTAATGACCTCTCTGCTCTCAGTCTCTTTACCCATAAAGTGAACATAACGATTCCTATGGCAGAGGATTGTTGAGGGATTAAACAAGCTAAGGTGTGTAAAACTCCTGCCAGTGCTGGCGTATAGCAGATACTCAACAGGGAGTAGCTTTCAATGTGGCATCATCATCATCATTGAGCAGTTCAGGGTCTTCAGTTCTCCGTCTGGAGATGTCTGCCCACTGTGGGCCATGTTACATGAACTTCAGATGCTCAGGCAGAATCAACCCACCCTAAGGGTGTAAATCTTCTAGCACGTGACACAGGCAAGGTAAATGAAGGCTGTAAAAATGAAGGCCATTGCTTCCTTCCTGTGTAGAGTCCATCTGTCTGTTTCTCCTCCCCAGTAGTTTCCTATTAGACCAGGAATTCCATGTCTGATCAACACCACCTTTCAAAGTTCATTCATGCAGGCTGCATTTTTGGCATGGAATATTTGTTCCAGAAAGCTTCTCCTAACAGAATCATACTTGGCTTTGTTTAATCTCCTGGCAGCTTGTAAAAGCTGCTTTCAGCGTAGGATTTGGAATATTCAGATAAGATGCTGCTTTAAGTTTGCTTTGAGTCAACAGGCTTACATCTCAAGTGGGGTTTCTTTAAATACAGTGGTTTCACGTGAAATCTCCAAAACCTGCATGCCATAAATCCTAGCATGAATCCAAACTGCTTACACAATCAGCTGTGTTGGCCTGAGTTTGTCTAAACCCATATACAGGATGTTATTTTCTTGACATTCAGGAAAAAGCAAAGTGTTATTCTCTTATTCTTTTTCAGTAAAATGTGTTTGGTCTTCTGGTCCTGGGAAGGACCTAGCATGGACCTCAGGTTACTATTTCGCCATCTTTTGTGCAGTATACTTCATTAAGGGAGAGTTTCACTTGTTCTTGGCTGCTTTGGGGGCCGGTTCCAGGAGCTGATTTAAAATCCTTGAGCAAAAAATCCACCGGCAGCCTTGCTCCCTGCAGTAACTCCTCCTAGCACCTCTCCAACACTCTTGTTCCCAACAGAACGTGTTTGTACAACTGTCCTTGGCCTTTAGAAATGACAGCTACACCCTAGAATCTAGAATTAACCAGGCGGAAAGGGAACGCAACCTGACAGAGGAGAACACAGAGAAGGAACTGGAACACTTCAAAGCTTCCATTACGGTAATTGTGGAGCCTGATTGGGGAATCCTTGCAGGAGATACTGTCCACAAGGGCTGTGCCGGGTCTCCTGCTTTTCTCAGTCACCAAGTAGAGTCTCCTGAAGTGAGAAATGGGGCCAAGGCCCTGAGCCAGGCAGTCTTCCTCAGAGCTGGGAGGAGCTGAGGCAGAGATCCCGAAGGCTTGGTTACCTCAGGGCTGTAGTTAAGGCCTCTGAGCCCTTGGCAGCTTCTCAGGAGGGGGCTGGATGACCTGGGATGGCAAAGGGAGCACCCTGGGGACCAGAGACCCGGATGTGATTCCCTTCCTTCAGGCCAGCCAGCTATAGAGTGTCCACATTGGGCTTCTCCAATCCCAGAAGTAGCCATCGCCTGGGCCCTGCCAAGGCCCCTCCTCTCGGCCAGGATGGGGCCAGGGCTCGTCTTGTGACAGCCGTGGTCAAGTCTTGGTCTGTGAGGACCCCATGTGATGTTCCTTCTCCCTCCTCAGTCCTCAGCTTCACTCTGGCACCACTGTGAGCACCGGGAGACCTACCAGAAGCTGCTGGAGGACATCGCTGTCCTGCACCGCCTGGCTGCCCGCCTCTCCAGCCGAGCTGAGATGGTGGGGGCCGTCCGCCAGGTGAGCTCTGCTCTGTCCGCAGTAACTGGAGCAGTGATGTAAGCAGTGGCAACTACAAATACTGCTTATTCATGGCTTCCTCTGTGCCAGACATCCTATGTCCATAATTGTAGTCGTCTCAGTGTATTTTTGATGGACCACTAAATTCTTGAGGTGCTCCCCAGAAAAAGCTTTCTATGGATACCTACATTTGAGAACTGCTGCATGCTACCTTCCTTTCTTGGAGATTTCTAATGCATGTTGGCATAAGCAAGGCTTTGAGAAGTCCTGGAATGAAAAAGTCTGTTTAACATTACCGACGTATTTCTCAAACGTATTTGAGTAAAGAATCACTTCCCCCTTCTTGTTCCCACAAAATACCTATTCAACTCCCAGAGAACTAGTATTTGGCAAAATGTGCTTTAGGAAAAACTGCTTTGTTTCATTAATCTTCCCAGCAACTCTGTAAAGTAAATAATCTTATCCCCTGATGAAGACATGATGTCTCAGAAAGGTAATAGCACTAGCGTGGGGCAAAGCCGGGGTGCAGGCCACTTTGAAGTTGTGAGGCACTCAGGGTGCCACCCTGATCCAGCATGGTGTTGTGGGGTCAGACTGCCTGAGTTCTCATCCTGGCTCCACAGGGATTCACTGTGTGGCCTCGGGCCTCTGTGCTCCAGCTTCTCCAACCATAAAATGCAGATGCTGACAGTATCTGCCATACAGGGCACTGTGACACTTGTAAAGCACTGGATGTCGTTATCACTGTTGCTGTTACTGTGGACCCATGTCCTGCTGCATGGTTTGCATGACGGGTGTTCCTGGGGCCCAGCCCTGGGCAGTTCTCATAGAATGAAGGAAGGACAAGCCACGGGGCTGTCCCACCCGTGTGCTTCCGGCAAAAGGGCACCCAACTCAGCAGCAGCACCCAGGAAGCCACTCCAGCTGGGAGCAGCACCAAAGGGAGGGCTTTAGGGAAGTGGCTGGTCTCAGCTCAGGGCTGTGGGGACTTTGTCCAGGGGACAGTCACTGCGCGTGTCCTCTGTGGACAGGCAGGCCGCGGGCAAGGATCTCTGAGGGGTCCACGGGGTGTCAGTAGAGAAGACTCTTCCCCATTTTGTACACAGCCCTCGTGAAAGTGTTTCTCAGCCCACGCACGGCTCACTCCAGCCTCCACCCTTCTCCAAGCGGCTTCCGGGTCTCTGTCCTCGCTGTCTTCTCTGGCTCCACTGGGCTGCTTCAGGCACTCATCCTCTCCTCTTGTTGCTCTTGCTGCCACCAGTCTCACACCCTTCAGTCCAGTCTCCACTGGCGACCTGATTATGACACTTTAAGACATTCGATGGCTCCCCTCTTCCTTCAGAATAAGTCCAAATTCCTTAGTCTAGCATTCAAGGTCCTTCACAACCCAGCCCTAACTCACCTTTTCTTCTTGCGAACAAACCCAACCATTTGCTGATTCCTACATGAGTAGGATGACCTGTGCTTTCCTGGCTTTCCAGACAATTCTGGTGTATGTTTATTGTCCCAGCATAATTCGTGACAGCACCCCCTTTCACTCTGCAAAGGATCCTGTCTGAAGGGGAAATCCTCACCTCGATAGAGACCTTGTGATGTCCTGCCTCTGGACCTTGGCTCTTGGAGTTCCCTGGCTAATGCTCTTTGTCTCTCCTGCCCATAGCTATGTGCCCAGACGCTACAGCACTTCACTCCATCTCAAGAAGCCTCCCCTGACCCGTTCTCTGCAAGCAGAGATGACTCTGCTCCCTCTCATCTCCTGAGGCTTTGTGGCTGGGCTCGTCCTTGTTATCCCTGAGTGCAGGTGCCTGAGCCCCTGTCTCAACTCACATCCCCGACAGCAAACTCTTAGAGGGCAGAGTCACGTCTGATTGGTCCTTGTATCCTTTCGAGTCCCCCAGCCCAGAGCTTGGCTCAGAGCAAACAGTGCTGATGAGCTTTTCATCCAAATGCCCTGTGTGTTCGCACTCTTCTTCCCTGCAGGAAAAGCGCATGTCGAAAGCAACAGAAGTGATGATGCAGTATGTGGAGAACCTGAAGAGGACGTATGAGAAGGACCATGCAGAGCTCATGGAGTTTAAAAAACTTGCAAATCAGAATTCAAGCCGCAGCTGTGGCTCCTCTGGTAAGAAACTGGGTTCCTTCCCACCCCCGACCTTGGCCCTGTAATGTTGGGTCCCTGATGGATCCAGGCTAGGATCATACCTATGGGACAGCCCCAGGACCTGTGTTAGGGTGAGCAAAGCTTGCTGCCTGGCCCAATGCTGCCCACAGGGGCCTCACAGCCACTGTTCCTGTGAGCTTGGGGGCCTGGAACCAGAAAGCATGAATGGCCCCCAAGCAACTCCCGATAAAAGTAACCAGAGAAGCTGATCACTGATGCAAAGCCCATAGGCTGCAAGAATTCAACCTCCTTTGTGAGAGTGGCACACCCCAAACCTTACAACCTTAGTGCTTTGGGGTCCCCACTTTGGGCAGCACATGCTAAGGAAATTGCACTTTATCCTGGAAAGCATTAGGGATCCAACCAAAGATTTTAATCAGGGAAATGACACTATCATATATAGTTTAGAAGATTCCCTCTGGCAGTGATGTGGCAATTACATTACTGGGGTAAAGCCAGAGACAGGGAAACCCACAAAGCGACTATTACAGTAATGCAGGTGAGAGATGGAGTCTGGGCAGAGGGGTGGAGTGAGAGCCTGGGTAAAGGAGATACTGCTGAGAGAACTTTTAGACTCGTGGGCAAGACAAATGCTTTAAAGAAATACTCTTTTTTAAAGAAGTGCTGTACAGATTGCTACAGAAGCACAGAGGAAGGGCCATCTGGTTCCACTTGATATTGAGTTGCTGTGTTCTTTTTGTTTTCTTTTTTCTTTTTTCTTGAAGTATAATTGAATTACAATGTTGTGTTAATTTCTGCTGTACAGCAAAGTGACTCAGTTATACATATATATACATTCCTTTTCATATTCTTTTCTGTTATGGTCTATCACAGACTTTTTTTTTCAGGAAATTTATCATTGTTATTTATTTATTTATTTTTTAACATCTTTATTGGAGTATAATTGCTTTACAATGGTGTGTTAGTTTCTGCTTTATAACAAAGTGAATCAGCTATACATATACGTATATCCCCATATCTCTTCCCTCTTGCGTCTCCTTCCCACCTTCCCTATCCCACCCCTCTAGGTGGTCACAAAGCAGCAAGCTGATCTCCCTGTGCTATGTGGCTGCTTCCCACTAGCTATCGGTTTTACGTTTGGTAGTGTATATATGTCCATGCCACTCTCTCACTTCTTCCCAGCTTACGCTTCCCCCTACCTGTGTCCTCAAGTCCATTCTCTATGTCTGCGTCTTTATTCCTGTCCTGCCCCTAGGTTCTTCCTGACCTTTTTTTTTTTTTAGATTCCATATATATGTGTTAGCATACGGTATTTGTTTTTCTCTTTCTGACTTAGCTCACTCGGTATGACAGACTCTATTCTATGTCCATCTACCTCACTACAAATAACTCAATTTCGTTCCTTTTTATGGCCGAGTAATATTCCACTGTATATATGTGCCACATCTTCTTCATCTATTCATCTGTCGATGGACACTTAGGTTGCTTCCGTGTCCTGGCTATTGTAAATAGTGCTGCAGTGAACATTGTATCACAGACTGTTGAATATAGTTCCCTGTGCTATGCAGTAGGAGAGTTGCAGTATTTTAAAGTAAAAGTAGGAGTTCTCCAGGCTAAAGGGGGAAATACACCCCAGGTGGAGGAAATAGCATGTGCAAAGGCGTGGAGGTTGGGCTGAGAAGACTATGAAACAGACATTCTGCTGTGGTTTGGGGTGTTGGAGTGTGACAATGACATGTTGAAGGTAAGACTTGTTAGACCAGGACCACATGCCAGGCCCTGTGAACAGTCTGGATCTTTGTTCTCCAGGCAGTGAGGAGACACCGGTGGGTTTACACAAGCCGACATAGTCAGATTTTATTTTTAGAAGATTGCTGACTTCAGAGTGGACGATGCATTAGGAGAGTGTGGACATTGAGGGATGGAGAGATGAGTTAGGAGGCTTTGCCGCAGTCCAGGAGAAGGAGGACGGTGCTGTGGACCAGTATCTCTCCTTGGGAGCTTGCCAGGGTTTGGGCTCTGGCTGATGAGGTGTGGTGTTAGCAGGAGAAAACAGACCTTTTAGCAACAGGAATCCCTGTCGGAATGCAAACATCCGTGTTACCAAGAGCAGAAGGAGGGAAAGTACACAAAGTATAACAGATGGAGAAACCTTTATAAACAGGAGGTTTCACAAGTTTCCTGGGGAATATCAGTGACGCTTCCCAGGGTCCAAAGGCAGCATACACATGCTCCAGACCGTCTGCTTTGGTCTTGGCAGCAAGGCTCCTGACCCACATGCATCTGGGCCTCTAAGAAACCTCTCTCTGTCAGTGTTGGAAGTTGGAGAAGCTACCACCAAAGAAATCCTAACACGTGCACTCTTACAATATTGTCCTGCAAGGTGCAGGGTCTCCTGTGAACCACCTTACCCACGATTTATGGAATGAGCACAGTTGCCCGTGAGTCTCATCCATTCATTCTACAGGCATTTATTGAGCATCTCTGGTGTGCCCACGTGGTACTGGAATACAGAGGTGAAGTGTACCCAGCCCCTGACCCAGAGGAGTTCCCAACCTGTGGTGAGGGCAAGGCAGTGTAAGCAGTGCTGTGACAGATGTAAACAGATTTTATGGGCGCACATGGCAGAGTCCCACGTTCAGTCTGGGGGCCTGAGAAAGTGCTTACAATCAGATGGGAGCCGGTAGTTGAGTGTTGAACGGTGAATGGGTAGTTTTCACACATCTGTTCCCACTCCACTGTTTTTCCAAGCTACACCTCAGCTTGGGCTGGTGCAGAGGGGCCAGATGTGCCCATCAGATACTCTGTGACCATTCCCTGATGGTGATTGTTCTTTAAGCTTTTATATGACTTCTTTGTCATATATGCAATCTTTGTCTGTACCTGAAGACTACAGTGAAAAAAAAATATCTCTGATTTCAAGAAAGGTGATACACATTCAGAAGAAGAAAAAAACATCTATTTTTTTTTTTCTGAATATGAAACATGCTGATTGCCTGCATTTTGGATTATTTCCTTAAGGTAGATTTCCAGAAGTGTAAATACTAGCTCAGGGGAAAGGAATATTTTGAAGGCTCTTTTTTTTTCTGTATAAATAAGATCTTTATTAAACAAACTGAAACAGAGAATTGAATAGTCACTGGGGAGCTTCAGGGGAAAAGTCACTTTTACCAAGTATCCAGAGAGGGAAAAAAACACAAACTTCAATTGACAGGAGTTGTGACCAGAATCATCAATAAAGTAGTGTCATTGCAATGCCTAGCTTTTAGAAGAAATTAGTCAAGGGTCAATATAAATATCTCATAGATTCTCTCTAGTCATAGTACTCCAGGTTTACCTTTAAAAAATGGGAAACAAGTGAGGTTTGTTCTCAAGGCATCTTTCCCCACTTAGAGACCTTCATGCTGTCCCTTGACTGAAATATATCCCTGAAATCTTACCTTTGTCCATTCTACTGTAAAAAATGCCCCAGTTTTGTATATTTGCTCTCTATATTTAATGGTGACAAACTAATATATGCTCAGTTTTCTGTGATTGATAAAGGACAATCACTCCCTCTATCAGGTGGATTTGCATTTTAACAGGGAATTCTGATGACAGACAGATTCAGTTTATGTCACTAATCTTTTTTTTTTCTTTATACAGCAGGTTCTTATTAGTTATCTATTTTATACATATTAGTGTATATATGTCATATAAGGCTCTTAAAGCCAATTAATTCCAAATAACCCACTGGTATTTCCATTTAATGGGTAACAGTGATGCTCAATTCATTGTGCCATGGACATTCTTGGCTTTTCTTTTTGAAAATATTTTTGAGTTTGATGGGCCAATATCGTATCTCTTCCCATAGTTTTAATTTGTATTTCTTGACCTTTTCAGATGTTTATTGGGCATTTGTATCTCTACTTATGTAAATTCTCTAATTCTTTGCCCACTTGTGAGATTGGTATTTTATTAACTGTATGAACTCTTCATACACAAAGAATATTTTTTGGTTCTGCTGTTTTGGCTGACTGGAAAACTTGAAAATCCTTTGACTACAAATACTTAGAAATTTCTGCTGGATAAAGTGAAGCAAACATTAGTCTCAAAGAATAGCTGAATCCACAAGAAAAGAAATTGAAATACTCAGATACAAGAAAAGAAAAGAGAACTGAAACCAAGCTGACCCTGCAGCTTTCCTTGAGGATAAGAGTCAGCCTCAGCTATCTGGGCTCTGGGCTTTTGCACTCACATGCAATCTGAGATGAGGCCTCGGACACCCAAGGCAGAGAGTTGACTCTGAGCCTCCCATAGAAAGTTAAGACTTTCCAAGGACTGCATCTGTGGAATACTCACCAACTCACAATGGAACAAATCAAGGAAGTTTGTCTGTTTCACCCTGGGCTCTAGTAAGAAAAAAACACTTTCTCCTTCCTCATAGGAAAAAGTGCATGCCCACAAAGTACATGCCATAACAAAAGTGGTGATGCAATATGCAGAGATTCTGAAAAGAACATCACAATGGTGCTGCTAGGAACACTGCCAGAAACAAAAATAAATCACTCTGGAGAGACACACCCTGCACCCAGGAGACACAGGATCCTCTAAGTAAAGCTTCACAGAAGATGAGTTTACAATATAGAATTATAAAATAGGAAAACAATCTAGCACAAGCAAGAATCATCAGACACCCAAACCACAGAATTATATGCTAAAGATAGCAGATAATAAAACAATCTGATACGTTTGTTAAAGATATGTGTAAAATTATTAAAGGCATAAAAGAACAAATCAGAAATATGAGAATAGAAGAATACAACCATCAGAAAAAGAATAAAATAGAATCCTAGAAATGAGGAATAGAGGTGTGGAAATTAAAAACTCAGTTGTTTAGGAGTGCTAGTTATTAGAATTGAAGCTGTTCCTCAATATTCAGATCTCGTCCTCCTGAATGTGCCCATTCAGATGGACACACCTCTTCTCCATCCCCTTGAAGTTAGGTGAGGCCATGTGGTTTGGCATTAAATGTCAGTGGAGGGACATGTGTCGCATTTGAGCTGAGGTCCATCAGAACTAGTGTGCCATTTGCCTTGTGTTTCTTTCTCCAGACATGACAACCATCACTGCTCCAAAACAGTAGAAGCTCCATCAGCCTGAGTCTTGAGTGAGGGGATGCAGAGCAGAGCCTGCTGCCAACTCATAAGCAAATGGACATGTAGCAAAAGCAAGAAATAAATCTTAGTTGTTATAACCCACTAAGGCCTTGGGGTTGTTTATTATTGTAGCATAGCCTAGCTTATCCTGATCGGTACAACATTTACATCAGGTTGGGAACAGTTGAGGAAAAAATTTGTCAACTAGAAGACAGATTTGAAGAAGTCACCCAAAATTCAGTTCAGGGGGATAAATTAATCTAAATATGAAAGAAATGTGATACGGGATATAGAATGAGAAACTTCGAAATACTTTTATTAGGAGATCCATAATGAGAGAATAAGGGAGAGAAAATATTCAAAGGAATTTCCCAGGATCTGAACATTTTCCAGAACTAAAGAAAGACATGAATCCTTGCATTTAGGAAGTACAGAGACTCCCAAGCAAAAGAAATAAAAACACATCAGAGAGAAACTTTAGAACCCCAAGGACAAAGTGCAGTTCTTAAAAATAACCAGAGAGAGAAGACAGATTATTCACAAAGGAATGGCAATTTCCAAGACCAGTAATAGTACCAGGAGACAATGAAATAGTGTCCAAAGAGCTGAGAGAAAATAACTGTCAACCTGGAGATAATACTACCAACTAAACTATCATGCAAGCTTGAGGGCTTTGTAAAAACATTTTATGGCAACAACTGAGAAAGTTTACCTCTCACAGATCCTTGCTAAAAGAACAGCTAAAGGATGTGCTTAGGGAAAAATAAAATTGAGATCAAAAGAAAGTCAGAAGCAAGAAGGGATGGTGATCAAAGACATTTGTAAACATGTGGGTAAATCTAAATAAGCATTCACTGCGTAAAACAACAATCATCATAATTTGGGATTTCAAAAACAAAGTGAAAAAAAAAATACTGAAAAACAGGGACTTCCCTTGTGGCACAGTGGTTAAGAATCCGCCTGCCAATGCAGGGGACACGGGTATGAGCCCTGGTCGGGGAAGATCCCACATTGCTGTGGAGCAGCTAAGCCTGTGCGCCACAACTACTGAGCCTGTGCTCTAGAGCCCGTGAGCCACAACTACTGAGCCCATGTGCCACAACTACTGAGCCCGCGTGCCACAGCTACTGAAGCCCGCGCACCTAGAGCCCATGCTCCGCAACAAGAGAAGCCACCGCAATGAGAAGCCCGCTCACCGCAATGAAGAATAGCCCCCCGCTCACCGCTACTAGAGAAAGCCCGTGCGCAGCAACGAAGACCCAAGGCAGCCAAAACCAAAATTTAATTAATTAATTTAAAAAATACTGAAAAACAATATAATTTAAGTTCAAAGAGTGATCATTTTTTTAAGGTTGATTCAGGAAAAGGATAGAGATCTTGATTCATTTAAAATCTAATGTCATGTAACATGTTAAAAGTTTAAGGGGGCACGCTAAAGATTACAACTAAAATATATAAATTCCAAACCAATCTGGGGGGAGGGAAGGTTAGAAAAAATTCAATTAATGAAGGAAATGTAAACTACAAAATGAGATGGTAGAAATATATCAATCAGAAGAAATATAAACAACTTAGACTTGTTGGTTAATAGAAAACCTCAGATTAGATTAAGAAAAAGTGTTAGTTACGTGCTTTTCAAGAGAAACACCTAAAATACATGAATATGAGGAATAGACAGCTACACAGACTAGATGGTATTGGTCAAACTGAATCCAACTGAATTGAGCTCTCAAAAACCTTTCTCTACACATACTGGTGTTTTCTAGTAGTAGTATTATCCAGGTGTGGTGCTAAATATTTTACATGAATTTTACATATTTTACGTATCACTTAATATATGTACTAAGGAGGAGAAACCCCAGGGGTGCTAGTTTCTTTTGTTCTGAATTATTTTGTAGATGACATATTGAAATTACTGTTGTCAACAAGTTTCCATTTTTTATTGACACCACACCTTCCTTGCTCATAATTTCCGTGACTGTACATTCCTTGAATGAGCAAGAAATGACCCAATAAGCCCTGGTATTGCTACGAAGAATCTTCACATACTCTCCACGGCATAACCCAGAGACCGTGTGTGGTGTGAGGTGGAGACCAGAGGTTCAAGACTAGGGATTCTCATAGTGCCCAGAGGAGTTAGGATGAAGGCTGTGTCCCAAAAAATCCCCACTCTGCAGATGATTGTTTCAAAAGGTCAAGTGTCAAATTCAGTGACCTCTGCACCTAGGCCCTTGGGACATCCCTTGAGGGTCAGTTCTGGCCCATAGATACCTTGGCTTAGTTTCTGCTATCTGCTTCCTGCTGGAGCTTACTCTGAGAACTAACCTGGGTTCTTCTCTGTTCCCTCCTGCTGCAGAAGATGGGGTCCCTCGCACAGCACGGTCCATGTCCCTCTCGCTGGGAAAGGTATGCATGTTCAAGGAATACTGGGGAAAGAAAGACAGAAGTTTCCACAGTCAGCCAGGAAATCAGTCATTCTTGGATCCACAGGTGCAAAAGAACCTCTGGACAGAGTCTCTCATTCAGCTTCCGAACCTTGCTAGCTCATCCTCCAACCTTCCCTTGCTCGTGGCTTCCAGGACTGCACCATCTCTTTAATGAACATGAAATGATGCACAAACTTTGGTATTGCCATAGATCATTTTCATACACTATCCAGGGTTTCATACACTGTCCAATGACTGGGCGTCATTTCTGTTCCATCTCTTCAGGATCTGAGAAATTAAAATCCGAACATGTTGAGAAATCACTCATCACTAATAAAAAAAAAATTGTTAATTTTGGCCACTCTCTCTACACCAACCCCCAGTACCATCACTACCCTAAAACCAGGATATCCACTGAACACAGCATTTGGAATTAGTAGGCATCTCCCAGGCCTTTCTGAACTTTGGGTGCTGCCCCCTCCATGACAGTGGGCCTGATCCCTTCTCTTCCCACAGAACATGCCCCGCCGGAGGGTCAGCGTTGCCGTGGTGCCCAAGTTTAATATCCTGAACCTGCCTGGCCAGTCACCCAGCTCATCTCCCATCCCCTCCTTACCAGCCCTGGTGAGTATGATAATGCTTGCCTCCTGGGCCTCAGGCTCACAACTATGGGGGTGACCTGGATGGGGTAGGGTCAACAAGGAGAGGAAATTCCAAGCACAGATTCTGGGCTATGGGTTCAGAAGCCTCAGTACAGACCAGGCCCCAGGTCTTATACTGCCCTGAGAAGACTCAGTGTCCTTGAACAAGGTGCTGGCAGCTCAGAGAGTGTTCCTTGCAAAGCGTATGTCTTTTCATGCTTAAACCAGAACCCTCCACTCTGCAGTGGGTGTAAGCAGCTGAAGATTGCATTATGGAGTACTTGGTAAGCTGAGCTTTGAACCCTAGGCCCTCTGATTCCAGAGCCTGAGTTCTTAAACCCAATGTTACCCTGCTTTGATTCATTACAGCATTGTTTACAACATTGAAAAATTGGAAATAAGCAGAATTCCCATTAATAAGAGATTGGTTTAATAAATTATGAAAAGCTCAATAAGGGGTTTCTATGCAGCTGCTAAATATATGATTCAAATATAAAATTTTATTTATCGACATGAAAAAAGTCCATAATTTATTATTAACAAAAAGCAAAACCCCAGTATATACAGCGTAACTCTGTTTTGTAGTTTAAGAAAATTCTGAAAGAATGTAAGTAAAACTACTAATAATGGTTATCTCTGGGCAATGGTAAAGTCACAGGTGATTTTAATTTTCTTGATGCCTCTTTATATTTCTAGAGTAAGAATGTATTACTTATAATCAGAAAAAAAAATCTGCTTCAATTTTTTTTTAAAACAAAGACTATTCCTATAAACAAAATATTTCCTAGATTCCAGAACTTTGTGAATCTGGTTAAACCTACCTAAAACTCTTAGGAGAGCTAGTTAGTGCTTTTAACAGGGACGATTTCCCATTCTATACTAAATGTATAATGTGGCTTCCAAATATATATATTCCTTTAGACTAGGGGTTAGCAATCAGGGCTATCCATTAAAATCACATAGGGTACTTCTAAAACATTCAATGCCTAGGCCCCAACCCAAGATTGTGGATTGGATCAGTACTTTAAGAAAATATCCCCCAGGCGATTCTAACATGCAAGCAGAGTTGAAAGCCATTGTTTAAACCAAATCCATTGCAGCAAAACAACGTGGTGTTCCTGGGGAATTTATTATAAAGAAATTTCTGATGCCTTGAGCTTTTAGTAATGGCAGGTATCTCCTGAGAGTTGTGCTTGGAACTGTATCTCGAGGGCAGTGATGGGCTTGTGTGAATCCATCCCAGGGGCCTTGGGACCTGCATTTGGCAGGAGCCTCCCTGGTATTTAGTCCAAGTCAGTAAACAGGGAATAGGGAGAAACCGATGGCTCCCCTCCAGAATGGAGCCTCAAGATGTAAACTCTTTTCCTTATTCAAGGAAACTTG